TTTTTTTTTTTTTTTTTTTTTTTGTACCAGGGATCAAACTTGGGACCTTGCACTTGGGAGGCAGACAGCGGAACTGCTGAGCTAAATCCCTGGCCCTGGCTCAAAGTTTTAAAAAGAGCTGGGGATGTAGCTCAGTAGCTGGGTGTTTGCCTTGCATGCATAAGGCCCTAGGTTCAATCCTCAGTATCTCAGGGAAAAAGAAAACAAAAACAAGTATTCACATAAAACACATAATCATCTACAGCACAGATACTTATGTACATTCTTGTGTGGATCCTCCTTCCTTCGAAACAGAAAAACAAAAACTTCCCACCCTCACAGTAAAAGTAGCAGGGAGCTGGAATAACACAGAAAGCCACAACATCAAGTGCCCTAAAATACAGATCCAGGTAAGAATTTCTAAAGAAGCAAAAGATGTTTGTGGCCGTCTCAGTCTCTGTGAGTACGAGGAGCGCGGCTGACTTGCCTCTATTTTCATGGCCTTGGGCTGCACCACATAGATCTTGTTCCGGTAGCCACACCAGACTTTGTCGTGCACCACGGTCATGCATCGGATGGAGTGGTGGGGCCGCCCCAGGTCCAGGAGGTGATAGTTGGATAGGTCCCACTGCCCATCTGCACAGGAACGAGGTCTCGGTTAGCACCTGCTGAGGCGCTCACAGGACCAGGCACCTCTATCCGGCACCAGCACACGGCTGGAAGTCACCTTGAAGCTCATTTGAGCCAACCCGCCCCCCAGGACCCCAAGCAGAGACGTGATAAATCACAACAAGCTACCTGTTCAATCACAGTTTTAGAATTAGAATGGACCTAGGCCAGGGCTGGAGCTCAGGGCTGAGTACTTGCCTAGAATGTGGGAGGTGCTGGGATCCTAGCACTGTACAGCCTCCCCGCAAAAAGGTCTTACAACTACTCGGGTGGCAACATCTCACATTTGGAGAGAAGCTGAGGGGACTCACTGTTAACCCTTTAGGAATAAGGCATATGGTTTGAAAGTCCTCAATCTGAAATCCAAAGTATTTTGAGCTCTGACATGATGCTCACACAGAATCACAGTGGACAGAATAAATAGTTCTAACTTCTTTGTCACAGATCTGCCTTCTCTCAACAGCGGTGGCCTTGGCGTGAGTTCTGGCCCCACAGTCCGTGGGCCTCACCCTGACTCGGCCACGCCACGCACACCACACGCCACTTGGCCGCGAGGCGCAGGTCATCCCTGCCTGCTCTGGGCGCTTTATTTCTGAGGTTGAACCTACTGAACTCGTATTCAAATTCCTCCACCCCAGGGAGTCCTCAGTCTCTAGGAGACGCGTCTCCCAGCCTGCTCCCTTAAACCCAAATGCAGGGCTTTGCACTGATCCATACTCCATGAATGTATTCCACTCTGTTCTGTCAATAAAATTTGGAATTTGGCTTGTCAAAACATTTCCATTTCATTTTTTTCTAGCTCTTTAGTAGCTGAGGGGCCCTGCACAGGTGACTAACATGCCCCGTGCCTCAGTTTCCCATCTATAAAATGCGGAGTGTTCCTCATAGGTTACAGGAAAGATTAAATACAGGAAATCCTGTAAAGGGTCTGAACAAAATAAAACAGCATCATTAACCAGCAACCTCAGTTACAAATGGCATCTAGGATTCATCTACATCCTATCTATAAGCCCAGAAGGATAAGACTTGTGGAAATGCCTTGCTAAAATCCAAATTCAATGTACCAATAAACTCAATGAGAAAAAAATAAATAAATCAAGAAAAATCCCAATTCAGTTTACCCACTCCTTCCTAATATCTCCCTGATCTACTGATCTAGCACGTAGGAAATGAACTATCATTTTTGGTTGATACACATAGTAAGAAGTTATAAAGTGACATGTACTCAATTTCCTTAATTTAATCTAGTTAAGGCAGGTTTTCCAATACCACCACCTCTCCCCCTTTGACAGTAAAAACAAACATTCTTGTTTTGTTTAGTATTTTGAGACAGGCTCTCTACATAGCTCAGACTGGCCTCGAACCCAACATGGAGCCCATGCTGGAGGAGACGTGATCATCTTGCCATAGGCAAGAAACAGTGGTTTTAAAGAGGAATTTAAAAACGACATGTAGCTGGACGTGGTGGTGCATACCTGTAGTCCCAGCATTTGGAAGGCTGAGGTAGGAGGATCACGGGCAAGTTCAAAGCCAGCCTGGGCTATATAATGAGTTCAAGGTCATCTTAAATGAACTACATAGGGAGACCTGCCTCAAAAAACCAAACAACAGCACTCAGGAGGCTGAGGCAGGAGGATCGTTGTGAGTTCGAGACCAGCCTGGGCTACACAGTGAGTTCCAGTCTCAACTACATAGTGAGATCCTGTTTCAAAAAAAAAAAACAAAAACAAAAAAAACAACAAAAAAAAAAAACCAAGCAAAAAACTTTATAAATACAAAAGATGAAAATTATTTTTAAGACACAGGAGAATAGAAAAAAATATCCTCTTCACTTTTTTCTAATTGATTAAGTATATGAATGTAAAACAAATGCCTCCATAAGACATTATAGGCTGGAGATGTAGCTCAGGGGCATAGTGCCTGCCTGGCAAGTGCAAGGTCCTGAGTTTGATTCCCAGTACCCCCCCAAAAAGACTTTATATAGAGTATCAGAGAATGTGAAACTCTTGGTCACCATGGTAAACACACTTTCCATGGGTACACCATTACCTTACCACTCTCATATTTACTGATGTCATACGCTGCCATTATTTAGTTTAAATCTGTTTTCGTTTTCCTGTTAAACACCACTTCTTTAAAACGTAACAAGCCAACCTGCTGGAAATGCCTTGCCAAGTGACCACTCAGTGCAGGTGTGGGTGTCACCTGTTTAGAGCCACTCACCAACTCCTCTGTGAAAGATGGCGAGGGTACCATCAGCCAGGGCCACTAACACGATCCCCTTCACGTGCCTGCAGACAGAAGACGGATTTCAGGGCCTACGTGCGGGCACAGAGGCGTCCGCAGAGCCTCTCTGGGGCCAGTGGTTCAGCACACACTGAACAGCGGGACAAGCTGCCTTCAGAATGGGACGGTATCGCGCTGAGAAACGGCCGGCAAGGGGTCTCAGCCACGCTTCTCCTGGCAGGCGTCAGACGCCCTCCCGGCACAGACACCTTGAGTGCCCCAGTCAGATCTTCACCCATCTGCATGTGGAGCAGGACTAGCACCTGAGTCCCCAGTGGACACCCCACAAACTACAGAGAATATTCTTTTTTTTTTTCGGTACTGGAGATCGAACTCAGGTCCTTGTGCTTGCGAGACAGGTGGTGAACCACTGAACTAAATCCCCAGCTCTAGAGAGAATATTGTAAGACAGGGGCACACGAACAGGTATCGGCTCTCTCCCTGAAGTACTGAACAACTACAGCATGGTGAGGAACCACGCTGGCAAGTTTCCCCTTCTACTTACTTTTCTAGAACTGAAGGGAGGGCACTTACACAATGCTGAGGATGGAGTCTTTGAGTTTGATGGAATGGAGACACTTCCTCCACTGGGCCACAGACGAGTGCACGTACAGGCTGGGGGCGAAGCCAAGGCCGGTCAGGCGGAGGAACACGGGCGTGCACACCGCCCCGCGGCCCCCGGCCGCACTCTCCTCTCCCCGCCACTCTCCTGAAAAGCTATGCCTGGGTCCGGCCTTCTTGCAGCAGAACACACTGGTTTAATCCTGGGTCCTTCCTGCCAGCATCCCAGTCTATTAACCTACACACCAAGGTTTGGCGTTGGTGCTCTTCAGGATCCCGTATCTAAATCACTCAGATTCTAAAATCTTATTCATCCCTTCTGAGAATACCATAGAGAGAACTTTCTATGACCAAAGAGAAATATAGTTTACTGTTGAGAACAAATACAAGTCCACTCTATGAAGTGTTGCAACAAAACCTCAAATTCTGTGCATCTATGTTTCTTTGTGTAACACATTTTTGTGCTTCTCACTTGCACTTGTCCTCTGCTGTCGCACATGCACACGCACACACGCACACACGCACACACAGGGGGATCCAGATGCCAGCAGATAAAGGGTGTGGCACCTACCAGCCGTTCTGAGCGCCCAGCCACATGGTCGGCAGCAGACTGCTCATCTTCTGGGCTTCCTCTCTCACCAGGTCTTGTTCACTCGGCAGCACTGAGGATATCGGGTCTTTATACACGTCGGAATCATTACTGCAAAGATGACCCACAGGAAGAACTTCAGAGTCAGCAGTCACAATGGTTTTTAGGGACTGAATTTTCTACATGTAAGTTTGTAACTACCCAAAACCCCGCAAACACACAATAAAATACTGAAATTCAGAAAAGCCAGTGTGCCAGTGCTAAATGCTTAAATATTTACACACACACACACACACACACACACAATATGTAAAGAATTTCCTAAAAAAAAAAAAAGACTTTCCTAAAATAAACTGAAATACATTTATATATTCTGTCAGAAAACTTTTAGATTGTCAGAGCAAATTTTGTAAGAAATGTATAATTAGGGACCAGGGATTTTAGCTCAATGGTTCTGCTGCCTGCCTCGCAAGCACAAGGAACTGAGTTCGATCCCCGGTACCAAAAAAAAAAAAAACAGAAAAGAAAAGAAAAGAAAGAAATATATAATTGCGCTATCAAAATGAAAACATCATTGGGGCCAAGGATTTAGCTCAGTGGTACAGCACCTGCCTCATAAGCACGAGGTCCTGAGTTCGATACCCGGTGCCAAAAAAGCATGATACAGTTCCTAAATTAACAATCAGATGTTAGTAGACTCCTAGTGACTCTTCCTTAGTGTGCACTAAGAGAAAGAATATTACATTGTAAGAAGAATCTAGTTTAGAGAGACCTTCATCTCAGGCCATCTAAAATAAAAGTCAAGTGAAAGAACCAAACTGTTTTCTAACAAAATATTTGCAGAAAAACTAAATTCAAAAACACTATTAAAGCCCAAGAGGGAAGCTGAAAGCCATTGCAAATTTAAACAATGGCCAGTGTTGCTGGTAACAAGTGGGTGTGACAGTGGAAGTGGGAACAGGATGGCCAAGAGTCACTAACAGGATGGAAGACAGCACTGTTTCCTTCAGGCTCACTGTGGCTCTATCGGGGCAGGAGACCCCCCCTCCCGAGCCCGCGGCCTGGGGCGTGTACCTCGACTGACAGACCAGGGACAGGTCTTCGGGGATCTGAACCCCCAAAGGGTCGGTGAAGACGTGCTCGGTGTACACACCGGGCTGGGAGACGTCCACGGCGTCTTCCACAGACCCCGCGCTGCCTTCGGTGGCTTCCGTGGCTTCCTCCGCGGTTGGGACACTTTCGTCCACCTCCGTATTTTCCGCTTCTATTTCTGCGAGACACACAAAGTATTCCAAGTGTGAACACGTCCCCGACACAAACCCGTTGTGATGCGTGCCCGGCGAGCCCGAGAGCTCCATTTCCTGCACAGTCACTTCGGCAACTTCCGCCCAGCTCTTCCCTCCCTGCTGCTGGAGATCGCGAGTCCACAGCGAGGCACCACAGGCCAGCGTGCAGGGAGGTACCTGGGGGCTTGTCTGTGACTGGGGAAGCACCGTTGGTACTAGGGGAAGCGGCAGCGCCTGTCACGCCCTCTGCGGAGCAACCGACCACTGTGATGCCGCCCAAGAGACTGTCCGTCTCGGCCGAGCTGTTGCTCGTCATGCTTCCGCACAAGGACGCCTTGTCCACCTGACCAGATTCTGAAAGATCCTCTCCTGCGGGGTAGTCTGTTTCCCGGGCTCCTGAAAAATGAGATAAATTTTCTTTTAAGATTAAGTAAGAGCCAGGTACAATGGTGCAGGCTTGCAGTCGCAGTGACGCGGGAGGCTGAGGCAGGAGGATCAAGTTCAAGGGCAGCCCAGACAACTCAGCAAGACCCTGTCTCAAAACAAAAGCAAACAGGCTAGAGGTGCAGCTCAGCAATAGAGGGAGAACCCCTAGGTTCAATCCTAGTACCACCTCCGCCAAAAGGGAGAAAAAAATGAAGTAAACTCTACAACTTTGTTATTTTAATTAAAGCAACTAGAGGAGGTACTCAAGCTGATCTCTACAAAATGGGACAGTAACTTAAAAAGAAAAATATTAACAGAACTGCAAACAAAAAAACCAAGACTGTCAGAGAGGGCACCTCTATCTTTAACAAGTTCCTCAGTAGCCGCATGAAGTTAAAACCAGTCTAAAAGTCTGATGATGAGCGGTGTACTGGGCGTGCATGAAATGAGGCTCCGATTACTCTGAAGTCCAGCCCAAGTGTCAGTTTAAATATGCGTTTAATAAAAATTTTTTTAAAAAGTCTGATAACTATAGCAGACATCAAGTCAGAAGAAAAAAATTTTTTTTCAGCTTTGAGTTTATTGGTACATTTTAGGGATACAGTACAGTTACATTCATTGTTGGGATCTTGTACCTCTCTACATGACAGGTCTTGGTTCTCATTTTTTCCCCTTGTCCCTGCCCTCTCTTCACCCCCTCCTCCCCTCCCCATCTACAAGCACTTTATTTCCATCTTTTCATTATCTCACATTTTTTTTCTATTCCCTTATTGCCCTTCCCCTATCCAACAAGACTACTACTTAAACTGGGGATATAGTTCAGTGGTACAGCCCCTGCCTGGCAAGTACGAAGCCCTGAATTTGATTCCTGGTACAAAAAACAAAAACAAAAACAAAAAAGATTAGTGCTTGAAATATGGCCATTTACCCACTACTGTTAAGTTAAATTAGCTTAAGCTGGGCAGGGCAGCACACACCTGTTAAGTCCTCCAGCACTCTGGGAGGCTGAGGCAGGAAGATCACAAGTTTGAGCCCAGCTATGGGCAACCTAATGACTTAGCCAGACATTGCCTCAAAATAAAAACTTTCAAAAGGGGCTGTCACTCAGTGCAAAGACCCTGAGTATCACAAAAAAGGAACAAAACTAGAAAGGAAAAAGTTAATTATACAATGCCTAAAGTTATATATTAGTAAGACATTTTAAAACTAAACATGAGGGCCAGGGATTTAGCTCAGTGGTACTGCTGCCTGCCTGGCAAGCGCAAGGACCCCAGTTCGATCCCCAGTACCAAAAAAAATAAAAGGAAACAATTAAAAAAAAAAACAAAAAACTGTCTAGCGTTAAAAAAAAAAAAAAACTAAACATGTATAGGGCCGGGGATTTAGCTCAGCGGTTCAGTGGCCTGCCTTGCAGGCGCAAGGACCCGAGTTCAATCCCCGGTACCAAAAACAAAACAAAACAAAACAAAAACCCCAAAAACTAAGCCTGTATAACTTCAGCTCAGAAATTTTTATTCACATCATTAAAATTTATATCAAACCCTCCAGTAGGCCTGCCCCTTCAACCCAGTGTGCCAGAGGAGCCCAGCCATTTGATACAGTGTTGTTTATGCCCCCACCCCACCACCGTGAACAACAGAAAAGAAGGCCTCTCTGAGGCTCCTAGATGAAAACTGAAGCCCACTGGAAAAGTGAAGATCCGCGATAAAGGCACACCACACCACCACGCTTGTTTTAAAAGAAAGCGATTACAGTCTCTAGCCTCCCTATTGTTGTTAGTTTGTTCTGTTCTTGGGAATATTTTGTTCTGTCTTCTCCTCTTCTCTTCAACAGCTCCCTATAGAGTTTGTGTGATCTGTGTCCTCTGACCTCACTTCTAACTTTTCTCTATCCTATCTATCCCTCCCTCCCCAACTCCTTCTAAATCCCCATTCTGAAGGGTAAAGTTGCTACACTGAAGAGTTTATTCACTATAAACATATTTTGGGCTGGTCCTTGATTTTTATTTCATTTACATGGTTAAAGGTGATAGATCAATAACTACCACAAACTGTCATTTTCTAAGCTGTGCTTGATGCTTCTGTGTTGCTGATGTATCACTTGGGCTAAGGTGTTGTGATTGATCTAATCAGTTGTCCTCCCTGGAATAAAGAACGTGAGATTGTCTCAGAGTCATTAGAGAATCAAAACCTGAAGACCAGCTATATCTGGAAGATCGAAGTATTAACCAGGAATTAAACCAAGGACAGTTCCAAGGACAAAAATGGAAATGAAAAGGTATTTAAATAAGACACAAACACCTACTTCCACCTCACCAAAGGTAAACTGGGGAAATGAGGTGAAAAAGTCTGACGGTCAGCCATCTGGACAACCTGAACCGAAAGCACAGGAAGGAAAAAAACCAGATAAATAAGGCTCTAGAAAAATTCAAAACAGATATAATTTCTCAGATAACCACAGAGATGGTGAGAAGACTGAAAGAAATTATTAGAGACTCTAGAACAGAGATGGATAAAAAATAAATGAGCTCAGGACCATAAACCATGAACCATGATGGAAACCATGAATGCCCAGCAGAGGAAAAAAATGGAATCCACAAAACAGATTCAAACAGATATCCAGGAGATTAAAAACTCCACAGAGCCATGCATGGTGGCACACACCTGTAATCCCAGCACTCGGGAGGCTGAGGCAGGAGGACTGCTGTGAGTTCGAGACCAGCCTGGGCTACATAGTGAGTTCCAGGTCAGACTCAACTACATAGTGAGACCCTGTTTCAAAAAACAAACAAACAAAAAAATCTACACCTAGACATATAATAATCAAGATCCCAGAAACCCAAAAGAAGAACAAAATACTATAAGCAGTTAGAGAAAAGAAACAAGCACATGCAAAGGAAAGCCCATCAGAATCACAGCAGACTTTTCAACACAAACCCTCAAGTCAAGGAGAGCCTGGAGCGAGGTATTTCAAGACCTAAAAGAAAACAACCTCCAACCTAGACTGATGTATCCTACAAAACTATCTTTCAAAATTGATGGGGAAATAAAATACTTCCATGACAAGGAACAGAAATTTCAAGAACACCAAATCAGCACTCCAAACACTTCTAAACAATATCCTGGAAACAATTTATATTAAAATTTTTATATATCACATAAAACGTACCGCTCTGAGGTGTGTGATTCAGGGGCACCACAGCCACAGTGCACAGCTATCTCCTCGTCCCCAAACTGCCCGTCCCTCACTCAGAGATTCAGCATCCACTCCACACTGACTTCTCCTCACCTCTTAGGCAGCCCCTGCTGACCCCGCCCTCCTGTCTCCATGAAGCTCCCCAGTCTACACGTCTCACAGCAGTGGGATCGTGCGACACCTGCCCCTTTTCCTCTGTTTTTTTCTTCCACTGAGTATAATGTTTCCAAAGCCCATGTCACAACTCTCACCTCCCATCAACAGTGCAGTGCTACACACACCAAAGTTAACAGTACAGATCTCTCACCACACATACGCGCACACCCTGTGACACACTTCACCCCTTTTAATGTCTGAGTGATATTCCCTTCCGTGCAGACACAACAATCCCCTTTAATTTTTTTTTTTTTTTTGGTACCTGAGATCAAACTCGGGATCTGGAACTTGAGGCAGGTGGAGGAACCAGAGCTAAATCCCCAGCCCAATCTCCTTTAATTTTTAAGTACCAGCTATCTGACTCAGCACTTTTGGAGACCTTGCTTTATTAATCAATCTGAACAGCTCCTTGTTCTGCCTCCCAGTTATCTTTTCAAACTACCCTTGTTTTATTTTCTTCACTATTTGAGAATACCGTATGTATCCATGGCTGTGTTCACTTGTGCTCTTGCTCAACTAGAACGTGCACAAGTGCGGGTCCAGGACCAACCTCCCTGCCGCCGCCCGGCTCCCTTACCCGGGACGCTGGCGATGCACAGGACATGCGAGTTGCACACGGTGAAGCTGTCCAGGATGTTGCCAGGCTGGATGGCATCGATGATGATCACTTTTGTCGCTGAGTGGGTGCTGGTGCAGATCCACACCTGACTGGATAATTCTTCATGAGTTTTTAACTCCTTCTGCTGTTCCTGCACAGGCAAAGTTAGGAAAACGAGTGGCTAAAATCATGCACGTGAACAAATATTCATGGTAGTGCTATCTCAAATTTAGATTATTTGGAGAACTAAAAGTACGACTCCTCAGTACTGACTGATGGGTTAAAAACCAGTGGCCATGGCAGATCGGGGACGGTAACGTCTACATCCCGGTTACCACCTGGGAGAGCACACGCGGCGAGCTTCTCTGAAGCACAGCCCTTTCAAGTGTACACTTGACTGCGTGTGTAAATCACACCTCAGTAACACGATTTAAAAGGGTAGCTGGGGAGAATAAGCAAGGGCCTAGGGATTTCCATTAGAACTTGGGCCCAGAAGTAAATGCTGGACCAAGGAGCTAACCAAACTCTGGGAAGGAGGAGGTCCAGTGGTAGCACGCGGCCTCACCTTAAGTTCCTGGTCTAACTTATCCAAACTGCTCTGAGACGCACTCCGCTGTTTACTGCCTTCCGTATCCAAACCCGCAACATCCTTGTAAAACACACTTGCTCCAACGACAGACCCGCCGTCCCTGGTCTTCCCACCAGATAAGTTAACTCCAACCGCACACCACAGCTTCTCAGGTAGGGGGAGAAAAGGCGTTGTTATTTCACTTTCTCTCCAAAAATGTTTAGAACTTTTCATAAGTTTTCTTAAACTTTTTTGGTTTTAGGGAAGAAAAAAATTCTCCCCAGAGTTTGAGGCCTATCTGTCTCCTTAGCTTCACAAGGAGCTTACCTTCATGGATGCATCTTTTTCATCAAGAGGTCGGAGATAGACAGGCACAGGTAAATTTTTCATCTTGTTTTCCCCTTGGCCATTGGTCACCTAATAATGGAAGGGAACACACAAATTGGAAAGCCTCACCGGAAGCGAACTTCCTTCAGGAGCACTGAAACACAGGCAAGCACTACTCTTACCATGTTTGCTCCATGAAATCAAATTGTTCGACTTTGTAATTTGTTTTCAGTACTTGGGATTGATTTTGTTATTCTAATTTGAAAGTAAGCAATCAAGTAGCAATTAGAGCAAATAAATAGGGTAGGAGTGGAGTTCAGAAGAGAGGCACTGACTCATACACACGTGTGCAGGTTTGCACACAAATGTGCTGCATATTTAGAGGTGCAGGGTAAGGAGGAGATGGGGTAAAGTTCCTAAAGGCCCGAACTAACCTTTAGTTAGTTTTTTTGGTACTGGGGATCGAACTTGGGTCTCTGCACTTGCGAAGCAGGCGCCAGAACCACTGAGCTAAATCCCCAGCCCTAGTGAACTGTTTTAAACACTGTATGCCAATGGCTTTTTATAATTATTTTTTTAAAAAATAAAACATTAAATGCAGACATTAAAGCAGAACTCTTCTGATTAAGGCAGAAAGGGAAGGTAAAGTCCCACAAACTCGGGTGCCCCAGAGGCCCCTCCCTTGGGTCTCAGGCCCCTGAAGCATTTCACATGAGCTCTAGGAACAGCATGGAGACCACCAGACTCAGCACTTCCCACACGTGGGCCCAGTCCACACAGCCTAAAACACGCAGGTTGGGATACATTTTTCAAATTCTTCACACCCACACACACTCAATCCTCTCACTTGGCACATTTGCACGTTACCTGTTTGTACTTCTGAGGCAGACTCCAGCCAAACGCCTGCACACGACCATCCTCTTTTTGCACATGCGCCTTTACCTGCCGGTACTGCTCTCTCTTCTGCTCTCTGCGTGAAGCTAAACTAGCTTCGGTTCTAAAGGGAAAAGCGGGGCCGGGGATTTAGCTCAGCCTTGCAAGTACAAGGTCCTGAGTTTGATCTATATCTCCCTTCTCTTGCTAACACAGCAAAGAAAAAACAAAAATTACGTGATTCCAAATTTGTTTGCTCACACTACAACTGCTCTATAAAAATTGTTATACTTCCTGGTGTGCACCCTGGGATCCAGGGTTTAATCCCCAGCACTACCACCAGCAGATAGACAGACAGACACAGACACACACACAGGTGCTAAAGCCGGTCTGTGTTTGTGCAGTAAAGCGCTAACAGTGAGTAGGCAGCACGTCATATTAAACTGAACTCTTCGACATCCGATACCTATCAGGTTTATAAGCATGAAAGGCAGAAAGTCTCACAGGTTGGCTCTCCATTTTTTGTTCATTCAACAAATATTTACTGAGAATTTTCTAATGCCAGGAATGGGCTTAGAAGTGGCTAAAAGATCAGTAAATCAGTATCTGCTTATGAAGATAATATAGGTTCAACTTTAAATCCCACTAACTTGTTGCAGAAGATAAAAATGCAAATTGACTCAGAATATAAAAATAATTCTGAAAATATTTTCCTTTTCTTTTGGCCATTTAAATTTTTGGGAGGTGACTTGCTGTGTAGACCAGCAGGTTAAATCTACCCACACGTTAGGCACTTCAGAGATACGATGCAGTCCCAGCACCTTTGAGACGGGTTACGCTCATTTTTCAGGCAGGGAAACTGGGACCCCTCCAGTTAGTTTGTCCACACGTGCGTACCCAACGAGGAGCAGTCAGGAGGAAGAACATGTATGAACCGTGAGAGGGTACTTAAAGGAGCCAAGTCACAGCCCTAGCTTATGGATTCATCTCAATCCCACGAGAGGCCTGGTAGGGGCCAAGACAATTCTCAACTGCGAACTTCTTTTGGCCCTGACCACTGTCTGGAACACACTCACTCTTCACTCAGGAAATCGAAGGCTTTGGACTTGTCCCCAGGGAGCTGTGACAAGGTGCTGCTTCTTTTCTTGACAGAGGGGGTCACGTGAGAGGTGGGTGCATTGTACTTCAGGTTAACGGGGGGCTCGGGCTTTTTGGTTGTGTTACTTGAGGAGCTGAAAAGTCGGCTGAAACTACAAAGAAAAAAGTGTGTGTGTCTATCACATGACCTGTGAAAGCAACCCATTATCTTCCATGAAAATTCCACATGCTTTTTTGCAAGCAGTCAGTGAGAACCTGGCAGAAACAGCTTTGTGTTACATACTGGAGCCCGAGCAGCAACTCCCAGCCAAACTCCGACACTAACATCAGGAGAGAAAAGACCGGAAGCTGGGTGCCTGTCCTTTCATTAGCAATTGCAGAAATGAAAGGGAGAAGCTCTCGAGTACTGGAAACTCCCCCTACTGAACGGCCTGAACCAAACGGCCCCTGAGCAGCTCCTTGGTCTCACGAGAGCCAGTGCCAAGCAGCAGGCCAGGGCCGCCGCAGCCCTGGTGATCTGAGTGCACGCAGGGCCTGCACACTTTCTCAGCAAGCGCAAGTCAAGTTCCTTTCCCGTCCCCGTTTATTTTTTTAATTGTTGCTTTCATTAAATAGCAGGTGCACCAGAAAAAGGGTAAGTTTTCATCTCTGTAAACATAAAGAACTTCGGGCATGAGCATAATTCAACTTCACTGCATACATTCTAACCCAACCTCGCACATGCTAGATTTCTCATCTTCACTTTGTCAACTTCTTTACCAACACCCGACCAGTGAGTCAGTAACTTAGTTAATGTGGATGCAGGTAATGGCCAATGTTCTAAGTAATCTCCCTTATGTTAATTTAGCAGAGGATTCCAAACGCATGCCCAACACAATGCAGCTTACGACAGGACATTTTTTATGCTTCAAGAACAGGCTTACCGAGCAGGCATACTATATATGACAGAGAAAAATTTCAATTTAGCTATTTACTCTGTTTTTAAAAACTGACCATGTCTTGTCTCAAAGTACTAATGTCCTTCAAGTACTTACAACTGCCAGATGCTTGACCTTTTTTTTTCCTGCATGGCTGGATTTTCTCGTGATGCCCTGCATTGAGAAAAGAACAGAGCTATCAGCTTTCTGTCTGAAGAACAAAGGACAAAGCATTCACAGGATGCAGGGAGGTGCTAATAATTAAATCAGCAAGTAGTTACTTTCACCAACTAGGTCAACTGGTCTGCTAAAGCTAATAATGCTGCTAAGATAAATAAAACACTACCCTTCCCTCAAAGAGCTCAGTTTACTCGTGGAAAATATCATCCATGTTGGACAGACAGTCAACATGACTTCATACTGATATCTAAACATTTTCCATTTAATTTTTTTGGTGCTGGGAATCGAACTCAGAACCTTGCACTTACAACGCAGGCAGAAGCTCTTTGTAACCCAAGCACTTAGTCATTATTTAATGAAGCCCTCAAGAACACCCCTCTCAAATGCTACTTTACAAAGTCTTCCCAGTAAACACAGGAATGGTGCCGGCGCACTGCTGGGCCAGGGACCCCTCATACGAACCGAATCATCTCTGTCCATCGAACAGCCTCTTGGAGCTCCATCAGTCTCTCTTTGTACTGGTTCCTCTCCATGAGCACGCGGGCCATCTCCACCCGCGTGAACCGCTTCCTCTGGGCTGTGGGGATATCACTCTACAGCAAGAGGGCAGCAGATCAAACGGGGGCTCAGGTCCGTTTCGGTGTTAATCAGACTCAAGGCAAACCTTTACATTTTTAAACACGCCTTCATTTCTAAAATGGCTCAAAGAAAAATGGCCTTAAACTGGATGTGGTGGCGCATTCCTCTAACCCCAGCACTCTGGGAGGCTGAGGCAGGATTCCAAGTTTGAGCTCAGCCCGGGGAATTTAGCAACTTAGAGACCTTTCCTTAAAGAAAAAAAAAAAAAAAATGCTGGGGGGCTTGGGATGGACAGTGAGAAAGGAGCTGAGCTTAGTCCTCAGCAGCCCTCCTCCTCTGTGCTCCTCCAACAGAACAAGGCCCTTACTTCAAATAAAAAGTTAACGACAAATACCAGAGGGCCCCAATTCCACGCATGGCAGCCCTGCTACTAGGAGCACACCCCGGAAAAACTTGCTTCTAAGGCTGCACATATAATAAAATCTCAGCTACAGTATTGTTTGTGGCAATAAAGAAGCTGCCAGTCACCTCCACAGGAACAGGCAGTGGCCAAAGTGAAGACTATTCCTATAATGGGGTACTGGGATGGAGCACAGCACTGCACGACAGTACCGGGGAACCTGGAAAACAGGCTGCTGAGTGAAAAGGGCAATCTCCAGGATTACCCAAAGCAGGGAGCATAAAAACAACACAGGATGCTTCGGGGTGTGTGTGCACGCATGTGCGTGAGTGCGTGTCTGCGTCAGGAGCACGGCGTGTTTGGGCCTGGCCTGGGTGACGCAGGGTGATCCCGTCTCAAAGACAGCTCAGTGGTAGGGGCCCTGGGTTAACCCCAGTACAGCCTCCCCCACCCCCCAAAACCGGGTGGCAGATTACAGTATGAACTTATGGATCATGACACACATCTTCTGCATGTATCAAGTCATGTATTCAAACCTCAGAGCGCCCCAAAGGGGCACCAGTGGTCATTGTGTCCAACACACCCATGCATCACTAGTCTGACCTCTGATGTGAAAGCACAGGTTGACAGAACGATACTCTGGCTGCCGAGAGAATCACGAGGTCGCTGACATTTATTCTTCACTTTTACGTACCCAGGTGTGAGGGGTTAACTCACTAGAACTAAAGTTTGGGACCTCATCCTCTTATGTTAAATACTAGTGAACAGTTTAATTTGGGGGCTCTCATATTTCTAACTCAAGATTTAAGACAAAATAAGTATCAAACAACCACCCCCAAACATCCTGTTGGTCCTCGAACTGGGACACAGAGCCACAGGGGAAAACGTGTGGGTATCCGCCCTGTCTCCTAATTGCTGGGTCTCTACGCTGCTACCTGTATATTCGGAGTTTAATTAGCACGGTTTCCCTAAGATAGCAAGACACAGTAAGGACAAACACCCGAAGTGCGAACTTACCTCATCATCATCTTTCGCTTTCTGCCTTGCATCTTCAGCCTCGGCACGAGCTCTAGTGGGGAAAAAAAACAAAACATGTTATTTGAATTGAGTTCAACATTTCAAATAATGAAAGGGCAGGCGCACAGTAACTACCACTAAAGAAAGGCCTTTCTGTTTCTAAAAGTGTAGAAAGCTGTGCCCGGTTTGGAAAAACATCCCAGCACTCCCCACAAAAAACAAAAAGACAGCTCTAAAGGAAAAGAACACAAACCGTTTTCTTCTCTCATCAAGGCAGACACAAACAATGGCGACATCTGCGTGACAGGCCGGACACGGCCCGGCACCGGCTCACGCCCGGCAGCTCCGGCCCTACCCGAAGGCCGCCTCCAGAGCCCCTTGCGCACCCTGGCCAAGTCGGCCTGCTTAGAGCCGCACAGCCGACACTTACTTCCTGAGCTCCTCTTCCAACTCTCTGTTCTTCTCCTCCAGCTTCAGCTTGGCCTGCTTCACGGCCTCCAGCTCCCCCTGCAGCACGTCCTTCTCACACGTCAGCTCGTCCACTTTGGCTATCAGGTCATTCTTCACCACGTTCAAAGCGTTTCTGAGAGACACAGCCAAGTGCGTCTTACAAACATTCTTTCCACCTTTCGGCTCGTTCCTTTGTAGGCTAAGGGAACGGCGTGATTACAAAGCCAGAGAGCCGACTACTGCAAGTCACTCTACCTGTGATGTTTGTAGATAAAGGTGGGAAGGACACAAAATGGCCAGGTTTGTACCCTTCCCACCTGCAGAGAGTGGATGGGACGCGACAGACCACCAATAGACAGTCAGAATCAGTCCGAGTACGCTTAAGAGCAAGCAATCTTTCCCAGAGGAGACACATCCTCCCGTCTGAGCCCCAGAGCCTGGGAAGGCGAACCGCTGGGGCTGGCGGGGCAGAGGGGACGTCTGCTCCAGGAGGAGCTGTGCGAGGGGTCAGAGTTCTTCAGGCAAGAAAGAAAAAGATATTAAAAAAAAAAGCATTCTAGGGCTACTATTGTTGCAAGTTCTGAAGAGATATTATCTTTAATAACCAATGTGGAAATCATCTGATCTAGAAAAAAACTGAAGACAAAGTTGAGACCCAGTTCCTCTGGGCCCAGTGGGCGTGGGCGCGGTGACAGTGACATTCCTGAGGCCCTACTCCCTCAGACCTCACCTCCACGCTCTCCAGGGCCTAAGGCTGCACCATCTGCTGGCCAAGAGGAAGCTGAGGAAGCGCGGTGGACTCGGCTCACAAAACTCGTTTGTTCCTTGTTATTATTTTACACTTACTTGGTTTCCAAAAGTTGTGTATTTTCTAGGATAAGATTCTCAACTTCACGACCCATTCCTATCAAAAGAAAAATAACGACCTTGAAAACAAATTTATCAAAAATTATATACAAGCTATACTCATATTCTTATTTTATTATTTTCTTTCTCTTTCTCTCTCTCTTTTTTTTTTTTTTGGTTTTTTGAGACAGGGTCTCACTACGTAGTTGAGACTGACCTGGAACTCACTATGTAGTCCAGGTTGGTCTTGAACTCACAGCGATCCTCTCGCCTCAGCCTCCCGAGTGCTGGGATGACAGGCGTGCACCACCACACCCGGCTATTTTATTATTTTCTGTCCTCTCAGTAATCTTATTTTGTCTCTAACTTCATTTGACATACTTGTATGGAAGATAAAATTATAAATAATTATTCATCATAAAACAAAACTAAAGATTTTATTGACCATTTTTTTTTCTCCTCAGTACCGGTAGTAATCCCAGGGCTTCTCAGCGAGACATCCTCAGCCCTTTTTTATTTTTTAAAAAATAAATATTTATTTATTTATTTATTTATTTATTTATTTATTTATATTTTCAGTCCTGGGGATTGAACTCAGGACCTTGTACTTGTCAGGCAGATGTGGTGCACACGGAGCCACATCCCTGACCAGGGTTTGTGACACTGACCAAGCTGGACTTGAATTTGCAATCTTCCTGCGTCAGCCTCCCAACTAGCCAGGACTACAAGTGTGCATTACCACACTTTTTAAAAACTTTATTTATTTAGGTTTCAGGATCAAAGTCTGGTCCTTGATCTTGCAAGGCAAGTGGTGGAACCACTGAGGTAGATTCCCCACCCTAAAATAATTTATTACACCTGTTAGTCTGTGTTTGTTTCTATAAATAAAACTTCAAAAGGGTGAAAATTATTCCACCAAATATTCTAACAAGTAGCATTATCTAGGGAGGAAAACATAGCATTAGTAAGGATCAAAAACTGTTTCCAAATTACAGCTGATACTGTACCTTCTGCTCAAATATTAGATCTCATTAATAAAGAACAGGCAGACACAAAGCTAAAGAAGGACAGAAGCCCAAGGCAGATGAAACCTTACCAAAGAAATTATGGTCTTAAAGCCCATGCATTCCATGTAAAGCAAAAACAAAGAACAAGAAATGTTTTATGTAAGAAACAGCATGAAAGTAGGTCATTAATCTATAAAGTTCTACGCACAATATGAAAATATCTGGAATCACAACGTTAGGACTTAATGCATAATGATGTACAACAGACAGAAATAAAGATGATTTCCTTCATTGATGAGGATGTTCTCACACACGGCTAAAAAAATACTTTACCAATTCTTTTTTTGTGAGACATTTTAACATAATCAGGTTGAAAAAATCTCATATCAGTAATACAAAGTTTCCTACAAAGTATTATCTATGAAACGGTAACATTCAGTTGTCACGGGACAGACACTATTATTATTATTATTAGGCAGGACTGTACTAGAGACTGAATTCAAAGCCGTGATACTTGAGTTATATCCCCAGTCCTTACATTTTTTATTTTAAGACAGGGTTTTGTTAAGTCAAAGTCACTAAGGTGCCCAGGCTGGGCATGAACTTGGGATTCTCCTGCCTCATCCTCCCAGAGTGCTGGGATTACAAGTGTACACCAACCACCATGCCAGCTGTGTTTAATACTTTAACATGTGCTCTAAGACAGAGCACACAGTGCAAGATTCAAGATAGTAGTCTTTAGGGAAAATAAAATTATTTAATTTGCTTCTCATAAGAAATGAAGTAACACATTAGAGAATATTTTTTAAAAAAGTAAAACAAAACCAAAGCGACCCTCACTCATCCCAAGAAATTATGAACTCATGTCGGAAAATGACATACAAAGGGAAAAGTAATACTTCAAGAAAATACTTCTAAAGAAAACTGGTTAAGGCAAAGGAGTTAACATGTCCTTTTATTATAAAAAGGCAATATTCTAAATGATTTTTAAATACTAGGACAAAGCCAACCAAGCTAGAAACGCTAAAAATTCAATGCTATACTATGGACTGATATTTTGTATATATAACAATTTTCTCAAATATCAGAAGTAGTAGCTTATTCAACTATCTATGTATTCACTACAAATTTTGGGGGGGAAAGAAACCAAACAAATTTCCAAATTCCAGCTCCAAAATGATTTTTGCCAAGACATTTCCTTTAAACATTACTGTCAATGTTGCAATGAAGCTATAGGGATAAAAGAAAGCTCAGCCTGGTTGAAAAAGTTCACATAATAGGCAGGATTGCTATAAACTCTCAAAGCATTTAGATAAGCGTAAAAGCTGAAAATGTATGCAGGGCAAAAAAATCACTGAGCAGAAAAAAAATGATGAGAAAGCGTAAAATGAGAATAGCAGCCAAGAACACCTAGCTTAAGGCAGTAACGGGAAAGTATTTAAAAGCATACACACCAGAATATTCCCCTGGGGAAGCAGCCCAAGAGAAAAATGAGTGAGAATCTCAATTAGTTTTCAGAAAGCAAGAGCTAAACTTGTTTATTTTAAAATGAGAGAGCAAGTATAAAAAGAAATCGAAACAATGTAGAGAAACCATTAAGTAGACACAATGAAGTATAAATACCACTGTATGAACAAGAAAAATTGAAGTATGTACTAATGAGAACATATCTTGCAACAGTTTCTAAAGTTCACATTAAATTTATAGATTGTTGATGAAGTTTGCTTTAAAGAGACTGTAATTTAAGATACGACAGAGGATTATCCAAAATTTTCATTTTGAAATGTATCAGTAAAAAGTAAATTATTGTAACTATGAGAAAAATACAATTTGATATGGTCTCATCTCTAGTCAGGACTATGCTGGGAGCCGTGGCGCACACCTGTAATCCCCGCACTCAGCAGGCTGAGGCAGGAGGATCACCAGGAGTCCAAGGCCAGCCTGGGCTACATAGTGAGTTCAAGGCCAACCTAAAAAAAAACAGGTCAAATATGTTTGGAGACTTTACCTACTAAAATCAAGGGAGAAAAAAAAAAAAAAAAACCCAAAAAACCTGCCTGGTAGGTTTTTAAACCACAGAATGCCATTTGGATTTTAGCACTGCCTCTTGACCTAGGTCCAGACAGGATTCTGAACACTCAGTCAACTCCAGAGAAAGGCTGCGCCAATGTGTGGAAAAGTGTACATCTCTCCAAGGCTACACTGCTTTCTTAAAAACTCCCTGTGAAGAACTTTTGATCTCAAAGGTGAAGAGTCACAGAGGTGAAGCCAAACTATAAGGGCTACTTCACAACCCCTGACACAGCTGCTGTCTGTGCTAAAGTGCCAGCTGTCCTGGCCACACAGAACGAGGTCCATCCTGGCACACTGTCACAGAGAGCCACAGTGAAGTCTGAGGAGCGCTGTAATCACAGAGGACAACTAGGCTGTGCTAGGGGACCAGGCGGAATCCCCGCAGGACTTGTCTCGGAGGCAGAGGAGAGGAGGGTAAATGCAGACAAGCCTGGGCCAGGCTGGGCTGGGAGGGGACAGGCCAGCTCCAGGACTTCAGAAGCAGAGCCTTACAAAAATCATCTGTGAAGAGGGGGTTACTAGGTCGTTTGGAAATAACAGTCTGGTACTCCAGAAAAAGATCCACAATGGAGGTCAGAATTACAATTAAGCATAAAAATCAAGAAAGAGAGCAAATATAATTTCCCAAGTGAAGAAGCAGGCCTAGGCCTGGCAGGAGCACCCAGTTGAGGAAATGCATCTGCAGAGGCAACAAAGGAAGCCTACGAGGGCAGATTTGAAGACAATGCTTTCGAGAAGTCCTGCAAAATGACCAGGACATGGCACCCAAGAGGCTGTTCTGGGCAAGGTGAGGACTGGGGAGGGCAAGCGGACCTAGGGCCCTGCGGGGTAACCGGGTGCACTTTCCGCAAGGACAGCGCGGTGCCCGCTGAGGGTCACAAGCACAGATCAGTGCCCAGTGCAGGGCAGAGAGGGGACGGACGCGGGAGAGGTGGCAGGGCCACGGGAAGTCCGGAGTGTTTTCTTTTATATGCATCTAAGGAGAAGAAGTTAGTGGAGATAATGAAGCAAAAATACTTAAGCTGACTGCAGGGGGGAAAAATAAATCTCAAGAGCTGATGGACAGATGTAAAATGTACACGTTCTAGGACACAGCCCGGCAGCCACTGGCTGAAACAGAAGAGGCTGAGGAGAATCAGGAAGTCACAGGGTGGGGGCGATCAAGATAAAGGACTAACTGCTGGGGTCACCGCCTTCACACTGTTAAAGCCAGGAAAGAGTCTCTAGGTAATGAGTTGGTGAACAACGATTAAAACATATTTAACCCTGGAGCCAGAGTTGTACAGTGACAGAGTGGTAAGCAGGAAATGAATGCTGAGTCAGAGAAGTGGGCAGTGTACCTGTTTAGAAAACATCGAACCTGCAGTGCTGCAGAGATGCACACGGAACTCATGTCTGGAAAGACAGGGCCTACAGTCTGCCCCTTACCTCCACCATGTGAAGGAAGCCAAGGAATCAGGACTCTGAATTTAATCCATGTAATATGCTTAATTTTCTGACTTTAGAACACCAGTACTAAATTTTACTAAAAGGTCACAAGTATTTTTAAGTACTATGTGGCTTAATTCTTTATAGGAAAAACTACTGGGTTACCACCAGCCTACAAGAGTTACAGGGAAACAGCATACAAATCATATTGAGAAGTACTTCATCTTAATTAATAAATACAAAGAGGTACCAGGCAGGAAGTGGGAGTGTGAAGCACACTGATGGGGGGGCTGCACAACTTTGCATTTGTCAAAGCTCAAAAGTTGTACCAAAAAACAGACAAACACCAAAAACAGTCAATTTCATTGCATGTAGATCTGACTATGAATTTTAAAAATTTTACTAACATTTTACTCTAACATCTTTTGCACCTGCCCTTCAATTCCGTCATTGAGTCTTTTTTGTACTAGGGATTGAGCACAGTGCCTCCTAACTGACCTGTATCCCCAAGCCTTTTTGAGATGGGTCTCACTAAGTTGCTAGTTGCCTAGGCTGGGCTAGAACTTGAAATCCTCCTACCTCAGCCTCCCAGTGTGAGGATTACAGATGTATACAAACGTGGCTGATGTGTTAGCTTCTCCCTTTCTTTAGTTTTTTGAGACAGAGTCTCACTGTGTATGTAGTCCAGGCTGGCCTTATACTCACTATGTAGTCCAAACTCGTCTGGAACTCATAGTAATCCTCCTGCCTCAGCCTCCTGAGTGCTGGGATTATAGGCTTGCAACACTACATCTGGACAGATTTGTGGGATTTTTTTTTTTTTTTTGGTACCAGGGATTGAACTCAGGACCTTGCACTTGTGAAGCAGGTGTGGTACCACTGAGCTACATCCCCAACCCAGTTTGTGGTTTATTAAAGAAATACTTCACAATGTCAAGAACATAAACGGCAATCAGTAAATTTATGCACATCAATTCAAGGTCACTACAGTCTGTATTTATAAGAACTGACAACAGTACTCTGAGAACAGTGTGCGCTGTTATAATTCCAGATACAGTGTTTTTTGTAGCTCAATATTTATTCTAAAGCAACAAATTTTCAAACTGTGCATAGTTTTTAAATTTTATAAAGCCTTAAACTTTAAGGAAGGCCCATCAAAGCCAATTCACATGAGTTAGAATCGTGATTACTGCTGAACAGGGCCCTAGAGGTCATCTGGAGCAGGGTGGGGACCTTTCCCGGAAAGGCCACTCAAGGAATGTCTGGGGCTCCGTAATCACTGCTGCAAACTGCTCAGTCTTCAAAGTCACTGGGCACAGGCGAGTGCGTGTGGGGTCTGTACTTTCCAGCATGCGAAGGTCAGCGGGACTTGACCTACGACCCACAGCCTCTCGTTTATACACAGAGACGAGGGCCGGAAGGGTAAGCTGATCGGCAAAAGTCACCAGACAAATCAGGAAGAACCAAAAGCAGTCGTGCAGTGTGCAAGCTACCTGCTCACTGACACACGCCGGAGGAGGGGGCAACTGAGGACTGTGGCCAGGGCTTCGCCGCCGCTCCCAGCCGCTCTAAAATGACTTCACGGAGAGACACGACACTGCGAAAGCTCAGCAGAATCCAGTGTTACAAGTACTTACTGAGATCTGCAGAAACCCCTGAAACTCAGAGAAGCCAGGAAATAGCGTCTACACTCATGCACCCCAACACACACGCATGCACGGCACCTCGTTCCTTCTGTGTAATGTATGTTCCTGGTGCAGCAGCTCGGTGAACTGTGTTATACGAATTCAAAACCCAAATTTCAGTGCCATTCAGTTTCAGGCCTATCCACCTAGACCTCAAAAAACACGTGCTCGGTAATTTCCAAAGAGAAAAAATCTTGTACCCTCGGCATGGAGCCACTGTAAAGGCACTTCCAAATAGATTGTTAAAGAAATTTTAAACAGTGTGATCCTTCTCCGGGTGGGCTGCCATACCTAGTAAATCCGCGCCTTCGTCCACATCTCCAATGAGGCCAGAGCCAGCGGAAGACAGCTCTTCAAAGAGGGATTCTGTGTTGCGATCGAAAGCTTTGTTCTCTATGCCTTTGGTGGGAGTGCTACGCACAAAAACAACAAAAGCAAGTAAACAAGTTGCAGAGACTTTTTAAAAATGTTTGTTTTAATGTAATACAAGTAGATATTAATAAAGAAAATATACAAACAGTTCTATGAAAAAATAATTTTTCATAACAGAAATAGAGAATCTCAAGGGTAAATACACTGTATATCATGATCTTAAAAGAATATAATTTCAATTGCTAATCTGTAAGTACCAAAATGGGTAAAAGATATTGTGAAATAGGAAGAAATTATTCAAAATTATACTAAGTGTAAGTGCTCTGTTAATAATTAAAATGCTTCATGCAAAAGAAAGGTATAGTATTATTAGAAATGAGTTGTGAAACAAAGACATTTTTGACAGCGTTTTTTAATATAACGGGCTAAACAACATACAGATTTCTTACTATCATTTATATTTACTGCACAACATAAAAAGATTTCAAAAGGTTTCTTAAGAAATTCCCATGAAATCCCACAGAGACAGGTGATAAAGCAAACGACGGGCGCTTCTGCCGAGAGCCAGCGTTGCTTGAGCACGGCCCACAGATCACCTGTTCCATCTCTGCCCTGCTTGTTGCTGCCCCAGCTCCACCAGTAAGGAAACTGGGAGGCTAAGGAACCTGCTAAGATCATTCAGTGACTGAGTGAAAGAGGCAGGATTCAAACTCAGGCACTCCAGCCTCAGAATCCGTGATCTTAGCTGCCATGTTACATGCTGTCCAGAATAAACTAGTAAGGCTATTTTTCTTTTTCTGTACCTGGGATTGAACTCGTGACCTTGGCCTTGTGAGGCAGGAAGTGGAAACCACTTAGCTACATCCCGGCTCAAGGCTTTTTTAAGAGTAATTTGACATGATCTATTAAAACTGATCCAAAACTCATGACCAAAACTCTCCCACAGAAACCCTGTCCTAAGAAGATTATCTATGTGTGCAAAGATAGCCAGGACAGCATTTTTATTGTGGCAAAAAGTCGAAATGATCTAAGTGATTAGTAATACAAAACCAGTGAGATAAGTTACGGATATACATATAAAGTCAAAATTTCAACTTTACAGTTAAAACATCCAAATAGAAGCAATCTCAGCACTCAGTAAGCTGAGGCAGGGCAGGAGGATCTCCATGGAGTTCAAGGCTAGCCTGAACTGCATGCAGAGTGAGACCTTGTTTCAGAAAACCAAACCAAAACAACAACAACAAAAACTGCAGGATTTCCAGTTAAATATAGTGGACTGAACACAGTCATTTATACCTAATAATTCAGAAGCCTGAGATGATGATAGTTAAGAAATTAAAAGGGAGCAAGGTGCGGTGGTGCACAACTGAAATCCCAGCACTCTGGGAGGCTGAGTCAAGAGGATAACAAGCTTGAGTCCAGCCTGAACAACTTAGTGACTTAGTGAGAACCTCTCAAAAATCATAAAATAATAAATGTTTTAAAAGCAGATAAAATGTGGACAAAATTCTGTAAGATGCGAAACATGGGCAAACAGTAGAAGCTGAATTAACAAACCAGAGAAAGCTGAACCTAAGGCTTAAGGAGGTCGAAACAATGCCAGAATTCATGAAAGACAAAGGGTGTGAATATGTCAGCAGCTGTAGAGAGGCTGGGACATGACGGCCAGAACCCTGAGCCCTGCCGGTCCAGCACCGTCCCTCTCAGTGGAAGCCACGCTCACTCCACACTACTCACCTAAGGAAATGCAAAGTGGTCACAGAGCATCAGACATTTAAAAGATCGAGTTGAAAAAAATACCCAAACCACATGGATGCAAGGGAGGCACTAAATGCAAGAAATAATGCAGGCAGCAGCAGCAGCAGCACAGAATCAAACCAACTTCTTTAGGAATAAATGTTGCACCTACAGAAGTGCAGCAAAATGAAAAACAAAAAACAAAAAACAAAAAAACCAACCAATATCCTCAGGGCATGGCGGCTCCTGCCTATACTCCCAGCACTTGGGAGGATGAAGCAGGAGGATCACTAGGAGCTCAAACCCAGCCTGGGCTACACATCAAAACCCTGTCTAAAAACAAACAAACAAAAAAAACAAAGAATAAATAAAAAAGAACACCAAGAAAAGGAAAAAGAACCTATAGCCAGGACTGGTGGAGCAGACTTATAATCCTAGCACTCTAGACTGTGAGGATGAAAGGAGGCGACACCAACACCACAGCCAGGCTCCACCCGTGACCACAGGAAGGGAGGCCGAGTGGCTCCCACACTCCACACACGGGTAAGAGGCCAACGCTGCACCCTGGGAGAGCACTGGGGTTTCATTTCCTCAAATCTAGGGCCGGGGGTGTGTGCCACGGTGCCTGCCTCACAAGCACAAGGTCTAGAGTTCTATCCCCAGTACCGCAAATACATACATAAATAAATACATAACCTCAACTGAGCAAAGGAGGGAAAGTGGCACAGCAGACAGCACCAGAGGGAAGAGGAAGTGACGGCCACTGCTGGAGTGGGAGCCAGGGATGGAGGACCACGGTGCTACCTTCACACTTCTGATTTTCACTATCGCTCGGCTACAACAGGAGACAGCTTAACAAGAATATTATTTATGGGCCGGGGATTTGGCTCAATCAATGGCTCTGCCACCTGCCTTCTAAGTGCAAGGGCCCAAGTTTGATCCCCGGTACCAAACAAGCAAACAAAAGAATATTACTTGTGTTTGTATTTATTTGTTTGTTTTGTGCCCGAGATCAAACTCAGGACCTTATGGTTGCGAGGCAGGCGACTGCACCACTGAGCTGAATCCCCGGCCTATATTTATGTTTTTTAAAAGAAGTTCAAAATGACCAAAGGGCACACAAACCATGAATAAGCACCTTCATCTCCTGGGCTTAGGGCAGGATGAGTAAAGAGTAAATTCCACATCTTATACTTTTTTTTGCTCCTCCCTTCACTAGCTTGATGATGATCTTACTAAACTTTTTCACAATCTCTTTATCTGTAAAGAGAGAATAAAGATGTCCACCTCACAGGGTTGCTATTATAATCAAGTGCTATAACATGATGATGACAAAAACCATGTTTGTTAACGTTTATGGACGAGGCACAGCGCCAACGGTTACGCGTACAGTGATTCATTTAATTCTCACAACTGTCTGAGGTTGTATCAAAAGAAATCCAGGTAAAACTCAAACCCACGAAGCCTCACTGTGGAGCAAGTGCTCTACCACTGAGCTACACTACACCCCCAGTCCTCTTTTTTTTTGGTACCAGGATCGAACTTGGTTCCTTGCGCTTGCGAGGCAGGCGGTAGAACCACTGAGCAAAATCCCCAGCTCCCCCAGTCCTCTTTTTTAAAAAAAACAAAAAAACAAAAACCAACATTTTTTTCAGATAGGGTCTCGATTTAGTTGCCTAGTATGCCCTCAAACTTGTGATCCTCCTGCCTCAGCCACCCAGGTAGCTGGAATTACAAGTGTGCACCACCAGGCCCTGCTAGGGCTCATGTTTCCAGCCACTATGACATACTGTGCGATGTTTCGCCCAGGTTAACAAGTGGCATGTATTCTTGTGGCAGTTACGAATGAATTAAAAGATAAAATTTGAGGAATATATTTGAAGAAAATAACAGTTTTTTTCTTTTTCTTTTTCTGAAATCGATAGCTCTTATCTGAACTTCCTGAACATCACCATATTTCATAACCTTGATTAAGATGCTACCTGACCACTCCTGCCTACTACTAAACAAACAGCCTTGCTGTAAAATAGTACCGAGAAGGGGCCAGGGATTTAGTTCAGCGGTGCCACCGCCTGCCTCTCAAGCACAAGGTCCTGAGTTCGATCCCCAGTACCAAAAAAAAAAACAAAACAAAACCAAAAAAACAGTACTGAGATGAGATTCCTCTTAACAATGAGATCCCGACAGCTCTGACGGAGAAGTTCATCTTCTCTTCCCCTGGATCTGGGGAAGGAAGCAAGCTGTTCAGACCGTTACCTCCCTTGACACCCTTGTTTCCTCAAGTTGCAGGAAGTAGGGGATACCCCTCGGCTGTCCTTTCCCCATCTCCTATGGCCCCACTGTGTCTCCTCCAACCCTGGGTGCTGCCTGAGGTGTGCTGAGCCCTGCACACAGCGGCCTCCACAGCGCGTGGCCTCTGCCACTTGAGGGCGCCGCGCTCCACCTTCCCTCTCTCCGTGAATTACCCAGTCTGGGTATTGTTAAAGCAGCACCGAGCCCTAAGACACCTCTTCCCACACTCCCCCAACACCTGCAGGTAACATTTCACAAACAAGTGAAACCATGCATACTATCCAGGTTTGAGAACAGAAAATGGAATATTATATTGATATTTCCTCAGCAAAACATATGGACTGATCTTGTCTAGTCAAAGACCAGAAAGCAGAAGGCTTATGGGAGTCAGAAAAGAAAAGAAAGATGTCACACTTGAACATTCCAGTACCTCGAACCTTTGTATCCACTGAGATCTTTGTCCATATCCAACTCAGGAGTGGATTCAATAATCGCTTGAACTTCCGACTTGTCTTCATTTTCAGCACAGCCTAAAAGAAGGACATGGTGAGCTAAACAATACGCCCATCACAGCGCCCTAATAGGAAAATCCTGTTGCTTTAATGGCTGCATCTTTGAATATTTAAAAGATGTCAGAGCGTGCTCTAGGAAACAGGGTTAGTGTCGTACATTCAGTATCAAAAACCAGGAAGTAACTTAGAAAAGGCTTCGTTTGTGTTTCTCGGACACACAGGGCAGTCTATCCCAGGCACTCTTTCATTCCTACTTGTGGGGGACAGAGAAGGATCGCGCTCCTGCCTTGTAAACTCTCTAACCTTCCAGCCCCCCAAATTTTTCAAGCACTTTAAATCATTGCACCTTTTAAGCTTGCCCACCCTGGAACACAGCGCATTATCTACCTACTGTAAGCATCTCAGGTGGGCAGACACCTCACGCCCAGCACACTGGTTTCCCGAGTCTGGAGCTAGGATGTGAGAGCTGCCACTCACCTGTGGACACATTCCTAGTCTCCTGCGCGACCTGCACCTCGATGTGCTGGCTCAGCTCTAACTTAGTTGGGGTGTCTGAGCCCCTGGCCAACCCGTCACTCTCTTCCTTCAGGGGAGTATCGGGGGGAATGGCTGCCACGTCGGAATTCGCTGTTGATGCGGGAGTAGTAGCTTTAGAGCCACCTTGGCTAACGTCAGAAAGTTCATCCTGCAAATAAAAATTAAAGGGAGCATTTAACTGAGCAATGTATTCTAAGCCACTTCCAAACGGAGTTAGGGGCCAGGGTGTATTGTAGGATGCATATTTAGCATGTGCAAGGCCTGGGGTTCAATTCCTTGAGTGGGGAGCTTGCTAGGAGAAAATACTATTAAAAATCAAAACCAAAACCAAAAACGTAATACTCACTGATTGCCAATAAATAATCTCTTTGGATTATTTGCAAATAACCAAGAATATTTAAGTAGTTTATTTCTCCAGAGAAAGATGAGATTTTTCTAAACAGATGTTCACTGTTATAGAACATAAAGGGTTCTAGGGCCAGGGATTTAGCTCAGCAATTCGGTGGCCTGCCTTGTAAGCAGAAGGACCCAAGTTCAATCCTCAGCACCAAAAAAGAAAAAAAAAAAGAAAAAGAAAAGAAAATAAAAGGGTTCCGTTAGGGACAACTACAGTGTATGTTCCAATGTGGTGTTTTCCTAAACCCAACTACATCTGCAGTAGGCTAAACAGAGCAGTAAGGGACTGCAAAGTTTGTCAGCCTTTAGATTTAAAGACTGTACACGGCACGAAGGCGAAGACAAAATTACAAGCAACCAGCCCCACACAAGAGCCAGTGCTGTAACACACATCACCTTAGCATTTCATGCCCACGTCTTCCTCTCTGAGTCTCTGAGTCAGTGCTTCTTAACCTTTGATTCACAACTCTGGCCTGAGAGTCCCAAGCTCTGGGCCCACCATGCTCTTCCCGAGGAATTCCCACGGTGCTGGACCCCAGGCCAGGCACAAACCCAAAGAAACACTGCGAGCCAGAGCTCCGGACACCTGCTGGAGGGTAAGATGCATCTAGGTGGCAACAGGACTGCATGTACGAGGCATAAGGAGGAATAAGGGTGGCGTGCCGGTAAGGTACGCAAAACGATGGGATGTTTGCACAAATGTGTGTACTGTGGAAATGACCACCACATCCACCCCTCAGTTACCAGTCGACGCCATGTGCACTAGGCCTGAGAGCAATTACCGCTGGCATAGCTGAGCTTTTATTCTGGATTCTCATTATTGTTAACCATTTATTTTCACTATATTTTTTAGTATTATTAAAAATTCTGAAATTTAATAACACTTTTTGGAAGAAATTTTTAACCCTACTTTGTAAAATATTGGGGCTCTGCACACTATGACATTTCTGGTACAGAGCACTGGGTCAAAGTATCAATCAGTTTTCTCTCTGTGACGCTGGAGGCTGCAATGAGGCCCCAACCCTGCCTGGCAAGCTCTCCGCCCGCCATTCAGCTACACTCACAGCCCAGGTTCTGCTGTTTTTCTTTTTGAGATAGGATCTTGCTATGTAGTCCAGGATGGCTTTGAACTCACTATGTAGCTCAGGCTGGCCTCAAACGCACAGAGATCCTCCTGCCTCATCCTCCTAAGTGCTGGGATTATAGGTGTGAGCCACCATGCCCCATCCCAGTATTTAGGGAGGAGAGTACCGGGGCTCGAAACAGAACCTTGTACTTGCTAGGCAGGTGGTGGCACCACTGAGCTAAATACCCAGACCCAGTATTTTTGGCTATTAAAAAGCAAGGTTCTGCCACCTGTCTCTCAAGTGCAAGGTCCAGAGTTCAATCCCCGTACAAACAAAAAAAAAAAAAAAAAAAAAAACCCAAA